ATAGATAGATAGATAGATAGATAGATAGATAGATAGATAGATAGATAGATAGATAGATAGATAGATAGATAGATAGATAGATAGATAGATAGATAGATAGATAGATAGATAGATAGATAGATAGATACCATTTTATTGGATGGATGGATGAATAGATAGATATATGGATAGATGGATAGAAAGATGGATGGATATATGGATGGATGGATAGATCGATGGATGGACGGATGGATGTAGAGATAGATAGATGGACAATTAGAGAGAAGGACAGACAGACAGAACGCTTCCATGAATAGCTGCTCAATATGTATATTTTCTTCGGTAAACTATATCCATACCTATATAAAAATTAATGTATGCCTGTAAGTCCCGTATGCGTTCCTATACCATTCCCCCAATTGCGATAGAACTTTTGTGAGTTGATGTACACACGCCCGTAGATGTTTCTAAATTGTTACACACATTTTGCAATATTCCGTTTGGGGCACGGGGCCCTAAATTCTCCTTTTTTATTTTATGAGCTAAGTATAATTTCCCTATGAGTTCCTATAACATTCATCCGATTACGATAAAAACTTTGGTAAGTTGTTGAGCGCTTGCCCGCAAAGGTTTTTGAATTAAGTTTTCCATTTTAAAATATTCCGGTGGCCCTAAATTATCTTTTTCTTATATGAACTATAGAAATATAGTTTCAAATAGAGATATTGCTTGGGTGGATGGAATTGAATCAAATACAAGCGACATTTCATTTTGTACAAACATTTTACGTTAGTTTGTTTTGGGCCGAGAGCCATTTTTTTCTTTCATGTGACCTATATAAATATAATTTCAAACAGAGCTGCTGGATGGATGGATCAATCGCTGTAATTGTGTTGACTAAATTTTCAATTTAAAATTTTTATTTCTAAAAATTTATTTGTGTACGCACCAGACGGAAAAAATTTTTCTATTTAGAAATTACTGAAAAAACGTAATTAAAACACAAACAGTTTTTTTCTTTGAGTGGCTTTTCAACGCAAGCCCGGGGTTCTCTCTAGTTTTGATAAGAATAGGAAACGATTTGAAGTATGAACATAATTCCCTGTAAAAAAAAAATCTTTTTGCACAGTGGCGAAGGAGGGTTTAAGCCGGGCGTGAAATGTGCGGTCAGTAAAACCAAGCTACGCCTCTGCTTTTTCTCTAGATCAAGTAAAGAGACGACAAATTAAAATCAAGTCGATTTTACTTTTTAAAATTTAAACAAAATCCAAGGTAATCAGTTTAATGATTTAAAACAAGAGATCTTTGATGGGCACTATACATTATGATTGAAGATTGCGACATTTTATGGGACGCTTCATGCGCATCGTTCATATTCAAACCGACATGATTGATGCAAAGATCAATTTCACAAACCTGTTGGCATCCACTTTCCACATGTATAGGTATTCCAGTCCCGTCTTTGTAAGCAGAGAAAATTGACTTATTTATGCCGGCCGTGCCACGGAAAGCAAGTCTCCATTGACTTTTGAGGATGTCGTTTGGGCAGAGGATGTTTTTTGGGCAGAAGATGTCGCTTTTAAGTAACTGAAAAAAATATTTCTGTAAAATAATCCATACGAGATATAGCCGACCAAAAATTGACGTTAGCAATGCGTAGGCTTCTTATCTACTAAAGTTACTTGACAAAACATGAACTCAAGTAACGCACATTTAAGACTTCCAATTTTCGCTACACCACTACCCCCCCACCCTGATGCGTCACTGCACACTTTTTATTTCCCTCCTATGAACTATATTAAATATTCTAATGTCCCAATCACTTTTAAACCGAATATGTTTCACACCATATTTAAATTAATATACGATTATATACGATTTTATTTTCCGAAAAGAAAAGCTAACTGCAAGAAGCGGATGGGTAGAAGCATTCCTGGACACACACACCTAAACACACACACACACACACATAAATATATATATATAAATATATATATATATATATATATATATATATATATATATATATATATATATATAAGCACATTGTTAAAAATCTATTATAATGGGATTCAATGAATTTCTTAAACTAACATCAAATAGATATAAGTACAAATAAAGTATAACATACTACTCAATGAAAAAATTGTGAAAGCAAACAATGAAGGTAAATACCTCTTTAAAACTCTCCACGGTGTAATTGATTCTTTGAGACTGTGAGCTCAGAAGGTCTTCTAACTTGTCAACAAAGTTGTTTAAAACAGCTTGTGCAGGTAAATTCTGCCCTGCAGGTCTTGTCACGGCCAAAACGCTCTCAACACTGAAACTTGAACTGATGAAACGAACCTCGCACAAGAATTCGCCTTCGTCGCAAACATTTCGACTCTTAAAGAACAATTCAACCGTGGCGCCGTCTGTAGAGAAGTGCGATTGTTTCAAAATAACGTTTTCGTCTGTTTGCGGTTGACAATTCTTGAGTACAGATACGGAAAATAATTTGGTACCATTCCTGGCTACGTCGACGATCTCCACTGCCAAGACGGATGCGATGTGTTTGTTAACACTTTGTTGACAGCGTAGAAGACCACAGACGTTGTTGTTGGCCGGCGTCGCTTGTTGGTGGCTGAATGTAAGATTGATGCCTGGAAATGGGAGATTTTTGGGAAAAAATTGTATTCTATTTAAATCATTGGCAGCCTTTCTTTACTCTTAAACATGAAGTAAGACTTAAACATAACCTATGCGAGGCTACATTAAATAAAAGGAAACTATGCTTTTATTAGTATCATAATTTATTTAAAAGCACTATATATTTAATAATGAAATAGATCCAGCAGAATTCTGTATACAAATTCAAAGAAAGGAATATATTTTCCATCTCTGCGTTAACATGTTTTATATATATATATTATATGAACTATAGAAATATAATTTCAAATAGAGATATTTACAATTATTATTAGTGATGGTTTTATACAGTGCGGTACCCAAGCCTAGGGCTGTACTCACCACGCTGTACATACAGTTTGACAAACAAGCCTAGGGCTGTACTCACCACGCTGTACATACAGTTTGACAAACAAGCCTAGGGCTGTGCTCACCACGCTGTACATACAGTTTGACAAACAAGCCTAGGGCTGTGCTCACCACGCTGTACATACAGTTTGACAAACAAGCCTAGGGCTGTGCTCACCACGCTGTACATACAGTTTGACAAACAAGCCTAGGGCTGTGCTCACCACGCTGTACATACAGTTTGACAAACAAGCCTAGGGCTGTGCTCACCACGCTGTACATACAGTTTGACAAACAAGCCTAGGGCTGTGCTCACCACGCTGTACATACAGTTTGACAAACAAGCCTAGGGCTGTGCTCACCACGCTGTACATACAGTTTGACAAACAAGCCTAGGGCTGTGCTCACCACGCTGTACATACAGTTTGACAAACAAGCCTAGGGCTGTGCTCACCACGCTGTACATACAGTTTGACAAACAAGCCTAGGGCTGTGCTCACCACGCTGTACATACAGTTTGACAAACAAGCCTAGGGCTGTGCTCACCACGCTGTACATACAGTTTGACAAACAAGCCTAGGGCTGTGCTCACCACGCTGTACATACAGTTTGACAAACAAGCCTAGGGCTGTGCTCACCACGCTGTACATACAGTTTGACAAACAAGCCTAGGGCTGTGCTCACCACGCTGTACATACAGTTTGACAAACAAGCCTAGGGCTGTGCTCACCACGCTGTACATACAGTTTGACAAACAAGCCTAGGGCTGTACTCACCACGCTGTACATACAGTTTGACAAACATAATCATGAAATTCAAAATCAACATTCATCAATTAAATGTATATGTTACATTTTCATAAACATTGGTACCTTTTCTTGGTGCCTATTTAGGTATCGTCTTAAATTGCAATGTAAATAGATTGTTGATCAAATTAAAATAACTCTTATGTTAAGACTTTTGTAATAAGTTTATATAAATTCATTAATTTTGTTTTTTTCCCTAACTCTACATTTACGCTAAAAGACAAAAAATCTCCACCTCGAAACCAGGGGTCTCATGATCGAGGCCTTTTGCGGTTCGCAAGACGATATTCTGCGGCCCGGTACTTGACAACAAAGTTTAGTGTTAATGCGGCCCGAGCCCCCATTGTAATATCTATAATGTGACCATCCTCGACGGTTTCAGTCAAATGTCAACGACTAGTCTAATTCTGATTTTTCATTATGTTTGTATATGTTTAGACTTTGATTATAATGGTAAAACCGTTTATAAATTGGACTAAAAGTTTTTATTTTATAGCATGTTATGAGAAAAACATGGCCAAAGTGCGGTTTTGAGAAAAGCAAAAAAAGTCAGTTTGTGGGTAATGCACAACCATAATTGTGTAAATCGTAACAATCTAACACAGAATCAAAGAGTCTCTATTAAAATTGCCTGTAGTATATGCGAGTGACTAGTGAGGGAAATTCCGAGCCTGTCAGCTTGGTCAATTTTAAAATAGGGTTAGTCAAAAAGGTCTTTTCAAAGATTTAAAAAAAAATCGAAATTCATTCTCCCTTCCATATCATTTTCCTTCGCATCATTATTTCATAGATATTGACTGATCCTGCCTTATTTGTGAACACGTTTTAACCTTCAAAGCCTTCCTGTGCTAAGTGATCCCAAATGGCTCAAGTACTTTGCTTTTCTTGTCGACATTTTACATGAGCTGAATGTGCTCAAAAAGAATCTACAAGACCAGGGGCAGCGTGTCTGAGTTGCCTATTACAATGTCAGGGCATTTTGCACAAAAATTAGGTTCTAGTTCTTAGAGAACATCGGCCATTTCCCAAAATGCAAGTACTCATGGACTCGGGCACACAATTCAGTAGTAAGTATACTGATGCCATAGCAAAGCTACAGGAAGAATCGGATCACATGTTTGCAGACTTCAAAACACACAGAACCACTTTTCATAGTTTTGTTGACCCTTCTCCTTCAATGTGGTAGATCCCCCCAAACACTCCCCCCCCCCCTTTTTGCGCTTCAAATGAAGTTGATTGATATTCAGTGCAATTTTGAACTTGAGGCTGAGTTCCGGGAGATAAATGGAAAAAAATACAAGNCATAGCAAAGCTACAGGAAGAATCGGATCGCATTTTTGCAGACTTCAAAACACACAGACCCACTTTTCATAGTTTTGTTGACCCTTCTCCTTCAATGTGGTAGATCCCCCCAAACACTCCCCCCCCCCCTTTTTGCGCTTCAAATGAAGTTGATTGATATTCAGTGCAATTTTGAACTTGAGGCTGAGTTCCGGGAGATAAATGGAAAAAAATACAAGCATGGACAATGTGTGAGAGCATTGCCCTCTAACTTCCCTGAGATTTCCAGGTTGTTCAAGCGGATCATGTGCCTTTTTGGATGTACCTATCTGTGTGAAAAGCTCTTTTCTACTTTGAACTTTAGCCAGTAAAATTTCAGGGCCCAACTTATTAATGAGCATCTTCAAGCTATACTGAGGATCTCAGTGGCTTCATCATTTAAGCCTAATGTTGCTCAGCTGTGTAAGAATATCAGGTCTGTGGCAACAATGAGTAAGAGGAAGTAAGTGAAGCCTTATTCTTGAGAACACTTAATGTTTTTATTTGTTATTAATAAAGGTTCAGCAGATTTTAACAGTTTTACTTAATGAATTTGCAATCGCTATTTTTGTGGACTACTTGATGCAGCAATGTCTCAGTCAGACTCGACCTTCTGTGGCCCCCGGATAATTTGAGTTTGAGACCCCTGCTCTAAACCTATCTAATAATGCTAATAATAAATATTCACTCCATTTGTTAGAGTTTAACAGTATTCAAAGATTGACAGTGTCTGGCCAGTGAAGTTGATTGAGCTGCAACTTAACAAGTGGGGGCACAAAACAAAAACAATCAAAATGAATGACTTCTTCAGCATGGTTAGTTCGCTATTCACAGATCGCCGTTACACACTTACCATGACAATAATTGAGAATCATAAACAAGCATAAAATAATGGAAGGAAGATTAAACGTCGTCATCTTAAAACTGTTTCAATAGTCACGCACTTATGTCATCCAGAATTATTATTACATACTGTGTGAAATCTGGCGAACATTATGGGATATTCCTATTTATATCATAGTCTATGGTGTTCCTTTATTTTTTTTTTAAATTTCATTTTTTCCCCCGCTAATTAAAAAAATAACCAAAAAAAAAATTTGCAATAAACAGGAGATACTAACATGTGCAACGTTCATATCTTATCAAGGTCGCAGAGGACGTCATTATGATAAGGAATGATGTAGATAAAAAAAAAACAACAGCAAACAAGCAAAACCAAAATGGCGTGTGTATGAAATAAATATTTCTCACGCTGTATGTGGTACGGTGTTTATGTCTTATATCAAAAAAAAAAAATAACCAGACTTGTTCTTTCATTGGTGGCGTACGAATCCGTCCTTGACATTATTTGTGAAAAGGGAAAATCCGTTTAAAAAAAATCTTCTAATGGCGCCTCACATCTTGTTTGTGAGGGGGTAGTATTCTCCTTATGTCTAGAGTTATACATTTATTTAAACCAAAAAAAATAATTAAATGTTATCTTATCACGTGGAATGAAATGTGTTTATCGTTCCTTCAAGCAACATGTCAAAAGTAGACATTTCCTAGGAAACTTAAAAACAACAATTTATAAAGATTCTCTACAGAGGAATGCACCATGTAATCAATGAAGTACATGCAAAATATTTGTGTTAACGAGATGTGAGGAATTTTGCCATAACACATTTTTTTTTATTCACTAAATGTTATTTTTTAAAATTTATTTTAATTTTGAAATCGCTTTAAAAAGAGAGTGTGTTCAACCATTTTCATTATCTAACCAAATAAAAAACTAATGGAAACATTCTTTGTGCTCTAGAGACGTTTGCATAAAGCTTTAATAATTATAAAATTATAGAAAGGCTGGACAAGAATGTGGACAATTTTTTTAAATCTTTTTTTTTTTAATTATAAAAGTACATAACAAAATAATAAAAAAAAAAAAAAAAAAACAAAATAAAAATAAAAAAAAAAATAAAAAAAAAA